CCTGGATCTTAGTCTTGACGTTGTCTCGCATGGTGAACATAAAACTGGTAGTAGCCGCCAAGCTGGACCACTCCATAAGCATGCCAAGGACGACGCCTCAAAGAGACGAGGCGAACCAATGCCACTACCATCAGCGACCAGGCTGGCGAGCCTGCTCACGCTTGCACTTGGCGATCGAAGAGAAGAATCGCCACTCGGCCCAACGGCCGCCCATGCCACAGTCACGGCAGCGGATCTGACCAACAGTGTCTTGCTCATGACCACGAACAACGAAATGCTTACCATTAGCAGCAGCCGTGCGGTTGTGCACCACGAGCTTGAGCATCTGATTTTTTGCGACTCCAGAGAACCCTCGCAGTTGATTTCGCTCCTCCGCTGAGAGTTCATCAAAAGAAGGCCTCACCGACCTGATCGCTGCCCGAGCTTTCGGCAGCGGCGTCTCAATCACTGGCGCTGGTGGCGGGAGGACGTCATCAGGACGTTTGCCACGCACTCTCCGGAACGTAGGGGGCGCAGGCTGCCGAACACTTACACGGCCATCATCTGGATCAGCAGCACCGTTTCCAGCAGCGGCCTCAGCAATGACTTCAGGAAGCGAGCGCAGTTGAAGCCAGCGTTGCGTTTCCTCAAACCCCACGGGGGCCCCAGAGCACCACAGTGCAGGAGGCGGTCGGTCAAAGTTTGGCTTCCAATGAAGTTGACGATGCCTGCCAGGGACGAAGGGCACCTCGAGGTGTGACCTAACAAGCACTGCACAGAAGTGTTGCCAGAAAGGCTCAGGGAGCACTATGCGGCCAGAAACTCCAGGGCCATGCTGAAAACGAAGTCGCCTTAAGACATCCGAAGTGGCCAGCCACTCACCCGGCACCAGGGAGCCGCCTATGATGGCCTCAAGCCTCTTAGATGCCGATCGAAACCAGTGCACTCTCTGCTGCATGGTGGGCGATGCTCCGTGCTTCGGGTCTGCAGCAAGCACGCCGGTGAGTAGCTGGAAAGCAATTGCCAACTCCATAAAGGAAGTGGACTGGACCGCATCACTGCTGGCAGTTGCTTCATCGACCCACCGTAGGCTAGCCCAAAACCAGAAAAGAGGCTCTAACAAACCGTAACCATAAAGCCAAGGATTATGTGAAGGGCAACCCTTGTGGCGATCTTGACGCAAGGTCGCAGGGCCAACTTTGCTGGGCAAAGGCTGCAGACGAAACCTGGTGCCTCCATCCGGCTTGACCCAGCAGTAGCGTGGCAATGCAGTCTGAGGGTTTTGCAGCACATGCTGGACGTCAAGCTGTCTTGGAGGGTCGTCTTGAAGGGCCCTCGCGGCGTCTTCATCTGCCTCGAGAGAGTCAGCAGCACGCTCAACTTCAGGATTCTGACCACTAGGGCCTGCAGGCTGAGAAGTTTGCCACAGTCGCGTCCTCTCCGCATGGATTTCAAGAAGCGTCTTTTGCAGCAGAGCGGTGACAGCAGCTTGCCTTTGAAAACGCAACACAAGTTCCTGGGGGAGCGCATGAAGGGCAGCGCCAGCCACAGCGAGGCTGTCAGCCTGTGCGTTCCACAAAGCCTCACGGGGTGAGGCACGGCCAAGAGCAACATCCAACTCCGCAGCGTGCCCTTTGACAAAGGAGACTCGGAGCAAATCCCAGCCACGGGAGCGCAACACCTGACCAAGCGCATGCCACAAATCATGGTGATCGTTCCAAGGCTTGGCATGACCTTCCAGGAGCTTTGCGAAGCCAAGCAGCACCGCCTCGTTGTCAGTCAAGTATTCCGTCGCGGACGGGGTCCACCTTGCCACACGAAGGAGTGCACGAAGTTCAGCACGGTCAGAGTCCTGCAACGGGCCCTCCAGTGCGAAGGCAAAGTTGAGACTGTGCTCAGGTCCAAAGTAGGCGCCACAGCCCGCCCGAGCGATGGGCAAGCCCTGGTGGGAGCAGGCACCGTCACCAGCCACCACAAGACGACCATCGCGCATCCAAACTTCAGAGCACGTACACGAAGGAGCGGGTGGGGCTGGGCCATCAAGGCACGAAAAGCAACCGAGCTCACGGTTTGCGGCAGCAAGCATCGGGTCAAAGGGGACGATGCCAGCATTCCAGAAACAAGCAGGCCAAGAGTCTCGCTCAACCTGAGTCGTAGCATCCAGCAGGGCACGACGCTGAGCAGCGAAGGCAGGGCACACCTGAGAGACATGCATAGATGTTTCAATCACGTCCATGTCGCAGTTTGGGCAGGTGGCCGAGCAACCAGTGTGTTTGGAAGCACGCTCAGCAGTAGCGACCCGGCCCTCAAACAAGAAGCGGAGTCGGCATCGCTGCTCCAAGGAAAGACTCTGTCCCATCAGGAGCCGGGTAGTGAGCTCGTAGTTCACTCCCTCGTGAATGCCGTGCAGGTCTTTGCGCGCAGGTGCGTTGGAAAGCAGGGCCTGCCGAATGGCGACCCGCAGACGGTGCTGGTACCACCCACGAATGGGACAATGAAGATCAATGTCAAGGCCATGCGTAGCTTCCAAGCCGAATGCCGCAGTCCACTGCCATCCCAACTTAGTGCACTGGCGTGCGAGGTGGCTCACGATGCCAGCGCCCTCCCAAAGACCATGAGCATCTCTGAACTCCCAAACTTCACGAAAGAGATCTCTGATCTGAGCCGACCGCTGCAGCTGCCGATGAGCAGTGTCGAAGGCCTGAAACGGCACCGCCATCTCGAGGAAAAGGCGATGGCCCCTCCACGCAAGACACATGGCAGTGGCCTTGCAACGAAGAGCTCGGAATCCACACAGACCTTGCAACACCTGCTGGTCGAAACCATGAGCACAGGCAGGCGAGGGCTCCTCGATATCTAAGCCGTAACGCGCACCAGCAGTCTTCAAGGAGATCAGCGTGGCCTTTTCCTCAAGAGTGATGGGAAGCTTGAGGATGGGCGGCAGGAGCTTTTCGGCAGCAAGCACACGGTTGTCCTGCAGCGTGGAGTCGCGGAGGCCATCGACAGGAACCAGAACCCCCAGGAGTTTGTCAACCGCGACCTGTTTGAGGGCAACGCCTCGAGAAAACAAGGGAGCATCGCCGCCAGGAAGGACGAAGCCAACCGTCTTTCTGTGACCAATCTTCTGACCAGTCAAGACATCGAAACGATCACTCTCATCCATGGACCGCTGCCTCTCTTCAGCAGAGTTGTTGACAACCAGACAATCATCGAAGAAGTTGCCAACGAAAGAAGCGGGGAGCAGAGAAACCTGTCTCCGAACCCAAATGCCCATCAGCAGCGAGACCCGGCGGACGCTGGAAGCGAGGCCTTGTCGGAAAGCGTTCGTCGACGACCAGAAAGGTCCGACCAAGGGGCCCAGGCGGAAGGCCGTGCGCAACCCCGAGTTGAGCCGTTGATCAGCGGCGGACCACTGCGCGGGGAAGCCAGTGGAGCCCTCCAGCGCGTACAAGATGGACCACGGCAGGCGATCAAAACACTTTTCACGGTCCAAGAAGTAGCCAAGCTTAGATTGCTGGTACAGGTGCGCATGCTCAAAGAGCAACGTGACAACCCACGCAATGTCCATGGTCATAGCATCGGGCCTGGCTCCTCGCATCTGACAAGGCAAAAGCTCATCAAGCCAGTTCTTGGACAAGTTATAGATGGCCTTATCCCAACTCACTGACCACAACGACAAGCAGGTCAAGGGACGCTGGTCCTCAGGGAACCCGGTGTCAGATTTGGGCATCATGGGCACGGTGCCAAAGAGAAGCGGAGACGGCCATCGGGCACCGTCCGCAACCGCGCTCAGACAAGACTGGCGCGCAGCAAACGAAGCAGCAGGCAGCAGGTGGCCTTCAGCAGTGGACCAGCCGTCAGTGCCCCCAACCTTAGCAGGATTGCGACCGCGAACAGCATGCTCGAGGGCATCGGCCGGGAGGTCCTCAGGGCAGCGTGCGTACCAACCGTCCAACTCCGAGCAGTATTCTGCACGGAATGCATCCCAAGAGGGTTCAGGGCTATCAGCGTAGAGCTGGAAGAGAGGTTGCCACGCCTTCAAGAGCATATCATGCATACGGCTAACAACGACCGTGATCTCCCCGGACTCCTTGTCGACGAGGTGTCCCGTCCTTGAACAGGTAGTGCCCTTAAGATACCTGCAGGCAGCAGGGAGCTTCCGCATGGCAGTGGCCCACTTGCGCTTAGCAGCAGTAGCACGCTCAGCAGCGGCAGCAACCCGACGTTGACGTGCCAATGTGAGTCGCGCTTGAAGCTCAAGCCACCAGTCGTCAAAGGCAAGTTGCGGAGAAAGCTCCTCCTCCCAAAGGCCAGCGACCAACACCGAGAAGCGGGAGCAGGCGATGCGCCAGAGAGTAGCAAAGAGTAGCTCAGCCTCCAGTGTGTCTTGCGAGCGTAAGTCATGTAGCCACGCCAGCCACTGCTCAAAACGGTGCCACAAAGCATCATGTGGGCTCGCGCCTGGCTTGATGTGGCGACAAGTAGGTCGGACCAGAGCCTTTTTAGGCACTCCACCCCGCCCGCGGCATTCACCAGAGTCAACGAAACCAGCATGCTCCAGGCGGGCTCGCAAGCAGGCAGCATCAAAGGCTTCGCAAAGTTGCCATGCCGCCTCAGTGTCACCAGCCTCTAGCGCTGAAGAGTGCGATGCCGCAAAGACCTCATTCCAATGAGTGTGGGCCCACAGGTCATACTTTTCAGCATCTCCCGCGCACAAGGGGTCCAGAGGTGGCAAACGACGTGGGGTGATCAAGCGGTGCCCTGGCCCCGTAGACAAGGAAAGGTGCAGCGAAATGTCAATCGCAGCATGTTGGTATCCCGGGACCCAGTGAAGCTCGACGCCAGCAACCAATTTCCGAGCCTCGGGGTTCGCAAAGACATAGTCGATCTTGGAGTTGGGCTCGTTGCTGGAGGGGTCGCTGCGAAAGGTGGGTCCCAGGCCAGCCGCCACGTCCACCCAGCCCAAACGCACCAAGGCCGTCAGTACCTCACTCCGTTCTGGCGTGAGGTTTGCGTCCATGCAAATAAAGAGTGGCTTCCGGAGAAAGGGGCCCAAGTAACCCATCAGCGCAGTGAGCAAGCGCTCGGTTTGACCACGTTTTCCAGCATCAGCATTGCCGCCAGAGACCCCATAGAAGGAAATGACGCCTATGCCATCGTTGGCTTTACGAGTCTCCACCCAGGCCCCTGCAACACGAGTAGTACTCCAGAGATGAGCGGTCTCGGTGTCAAAGTGCCCGTCGAAAAGGGGACGGGCGACAATCGGCCGAAGGGCGGTGACCAAGGAGCCGTTTCCCTGGCCACGCGGTGGACTTGGCGCACTCCAATAGCTACGGTAGCCACGCTCATCAAGGTGTCGCGTCGTGTCCAGGATATCTTTCGCATCAGCCCATGTCTCTTGGTAGGCGCCAACATCTGGGCTGGCCTCAGGGTCCCAGAGGCGTTGCTTGCGATCCCATTGACGAACGCCACCCAGGTTATGGGATCGGAGGCGCAAGTTAGAGATATTCATTGCCAAGGCATGGCCCTTTGCTGCCCGACGGCGATGGCCCGGGTGTTGGGCTTCGCCAATCCGTATGCCGTCCAGACCAGTAGGCCACGGAACCAAGGTACCAGCAAAGCCAATCGCGAAGAGCACCGTCAAGAGCAATCCAAGGAGTAATCCAGCACCGCGAAAACGGCGAGTACAGGGGGAGCCACTGCCCACGTGGCCGCCTGACGGCTGAAGGACAGGAGGGAGAGGGATTTCCCCGCGACCACACAGTTTGTGCACTGTAGTCCAACGCCGCCGTGAAGAGCACGAAGACGTAGAAGAACTGCTTCGCAAAGCAAATGAATTCATAGATCCCATCTGTTGGCACACTCCCCGCAACTGACTGTCGCAAGCAGAAGAATGTGCCAAGCGAGGGCAAAAAGCATGCCGATGCGCCAACGTAGAAGGAAAGCTGGAGGAGCATAGGCCGTCAAAACCAAAACAAGGCCATGAGGCAGCACGAGCCGGCCGCCACCGTGGCATCGAAACCTCAAGCACCTCGCGATCGCCACACTGCACAAAGATCTCCGGCGCATGAAGAGAAACTCCAAGAAATCCGCGTGTGGGCCAAAAGCCCTGAAACGAAATTGTCCCCAAATAGCCGTCTGCGCAAGGCGAAAGAAAAGGAAGCCCAGCAGCTCGTGCGGAGTCAACACTGTTCAGTGAAGGACTCCAGGTCCCTAGTCAAGCTCCCGCAGCCGGTCCCACCTTGGATTTGGCAGCAGCGGCCGGATTTGGCAAGGCCTCAGGAGCCGCCCTCTTTTCACCAGAAACAGCATTCTGCGCCTGGAGAAGGTCCATCATCACGGTCATCTGCTGCATGAGGTCGTTGTGCCGCGCAGACGCTTCGTCCTTAATCACAACAAACTCCTGCTGTGTCTGAGCGTACATGTCCGCCTGAGACTTTTGCAGATCCTGGCGTAACACCGTCTGTGCATCCTGGAAGTCCGTGCGGAGTGCCTTCATCCTGTCGTCTTGCTGGGCCTCCCACTCGGTTTGCTTGACCAGCATGGCGCGCTCAAACTGCAAGAATCTGTCATCCAGGACGCGGTCAAGGTTGCGCTCCAGGGTGCGCTCAGCCTCCGCCGCGAAATGGTGGGCGACACGTTCCAATCGCGCATGTTCGGCAGTTCCAGGAGCCGCCTGCGTGCGAAGGAAAAGAGCCGTGGCCTCGGTAGGGTCCTCCGCAACCGCATCCTCCTTGTTGGAATCGTCGCCGTCCTCTTGCATTGCCTCAGCCTCCAGGTCGACGGCTGCTGGCCGCACGATCGGAGTGAGCAGGTTGTTCCATGCATTCAAGGGTGGCTTCGTACCAGCAGAAAGGGGGATCTCAACCTGTTTAGCTGGGGTCTGTCGGCGCTGCTTCGGCAGCACTTCGTGAATGTTCACCGGCTCCTGGCCCATGACGAACGACCAAAGATTCTGATCACCACGTTTGTGGACATCGGGAGGCGGCGAATCTGCACGCAAAGTGATCTCCTTGCGACGCACCGAAACAATCTCCTCGGCCTTCCACAGGACGCGCTCCGCCAGAAAGGTGAGAATCTGGCAGGGCTTCAAGAAAGGAACACCAGTCATCTTCCATAGCCTGGTAGAAGGGGCAGACGGACGACCAGTCAAGTCGATGCGCACCTGCTGTTCATGCTCCGCGTCCACCCGCAACATGAGACGTTTTCCCCAAACCTCAAAGCCTTCAGCACCCGACGTGGAGTTGAGAACCGACTGGATTTGGTCACGATCCCAAGCTGCACCCGTCACTGCGACGAGAGGCCGCAGTGCACGCTCTGTCTCCCGCGCCTGGTCCGATGCAAACTTTTTCTCAAAGAAGATGCCATCAGCACCAGAAGTACGACGTAACTGCTCCTCGATCTCTTTGGGGATGCGGAGGAGCGTGTCCAAGCATCCAGTAGAGTCCGCAATGTTGCCAGTCAAACGTCCGCTCCAGGCTTCAATCTCCAGCTTCGGACCATCACCCAGCTTCTTGAGGAGCATCGTCAACAGGAGCTCGGAGATAAGTTTAGCAGAGGGGACCTTTTTGTCGGCCCGCTTGGCCATCGGCTGCCGAGCCTTGTCGCAGGCATCCCACACGGCTGGCGGCGCCCAGAATTGGCGAACTTGCATGGACCAAGTCTGAAAAGAGTCCATCTCCACCCCAATGTCAAAAACCGTGGTTTGAGGCAACTCGATAGCACCCGTACCCGCCTGGAAGGCGAGCAACTTCTGAACAAACTTACGCTCACCTTGGCGCATGGGCAAAAAGGTCTCAACCCCCTTCGCCAAGGCCTCCACATCTGTCCAATGTCGACGGTTTTCACGCTGACCCCCAGCCACAAGAACCACCAACGGCGTAGGCCACGGGTCCACAGTCAGGTCGTCGAGCAGCGCCTCCGCATCCTTGCAATCCGCGAGGAAGACCCCCGAAGGCCGAGGCCCCACCGTCTTCTTCAAAGAGCATAGCACTTGGAGGTCGTGCAAAGCAGCAGCATCAATCATCAGAGGAGGTGTCGCAGCCGCTGGTGCAGATCTCCCCCGTGGCGTTTTGCCCATGCCCTTACCGCCACCAGCAGAAGCAGCAGGAGGAACATCGTCAGGACGAAACCTGGAGCTCAAAGCGACAGGCGGGGAGCAGCCATTGGCAACCTTAATGATGTCACGAAAGGTGGTCGCCTTGTCCTCGGCAAGCTTCTTGAGGACATCAGGAGCGACCTTGTGAATCAGCTCATCAATGGCGGTTCTGGCGCGATCAAACTTGCCGTGCTTTTCCAAGATAGCGAGCAGCGTGTTGCGCGCCTCTTTGCCGATGATGCCTCCTCCACACAAGGGCAAGGAGAGCTCGACAAAGGATCCAGAGCAAAGACCACACTGCCCCACAAGAGAGGCATTCGATAAGAGCTTGCCATTGTACCACAACCTGGGCATGCAAGTGCCCCATATGTCAGTGCAGTTCTCTGTAGCCTCGAGAGAGACTAACGGTGCCACCATGTCCGGAGACTGAGGGTGAACTGCGCAGCACCTAGTCTTGACGTTGTCTATGATGTCACTGACCTCAAAATCCAAGGTGATCGTCTTGCCCGTCAAGGTCTTGACAGGGATCTGCATGCCACCCCGAGAAGGCAGCACTAGTTGAATGGTTGATTCCTTTTGGATTTTGTGATCCAAGAGGGTACGATCGTCCTTCCATTGCTTGCCATCTGGGATCAGGCTCTGTTGGTCGTACGGGATGCCTTTTTTGATCGCCTCGTCCAAGGCGCTCGTCTTGCCCGTCGGCTTCTTGTCGAGGATCTGCATGTGTCCTTGCGGACTCATGGCCGGGTAGAGGGTCGGCTTCTTCAGGAAATCATCTG